CGGGTTTCCTCACGATGTTTTCCTTCACCGCCGAGCACGTGGTAAATCAGCACTTAAAATTGCAATTAACAATTTCAGTACCGGCGGGTATGGAACCCGGGTTGCTCGCGTACTGTGAAATTTCGCCCCTGAGCTACCATAGCTATTATAACTGAATTTAAAGTAGTTTTTCGATGACTGAACTTCTCTTGCCCATAAACTATTATAATATTATAGATCTGCAGTTTTTTTTTTAAGTTCAATGCAGACAAAGTCTCAGATAAAAACTAGTATTTAATAAGAATTTGTAAATGTATAGTATGAATTAGCTATGAATTAATGGATCTATATTTTTATATGTAACATTAAGTAATCTATACAAATAAATAAAATTGAAGTGTCTGTTTGTAATGTCAAAATTACAGTTTTTTACTAAATGCATATGAAAGTAAATACGATACCTATAACTAAAATACAATTTTTAAAATTTTTGTCTGTCTGTCTGTCTGTCTGTCTGTTTGTTCCGGGTAATCTCCGAAACGGCTGGACCGATTTTGACGGGACTTTCACTGGCAGATAGCTGATTTCATAAGGAGTAAAATAGGCTACTTTTATTTTAGAAAAAGAATCAGGGTTCCACGCAGAAACATAAAAACACTAACACGCGAACGAAGTCGCGGGGAACAGCTAGTATTTTATATTTTTACTCCCGACGTAAAATGAGGGTTGTTATAAAATTGACCGCTATGTGTGTCTGTGGCACCGTAACTTTTTAAACGTGTGAACCGATTTGGGTGCGTTTTTTTAAAAAGCAGGTTTTCTAGGGGGTTCTTGGACTTGTTTTATCGAAATCGGTTCAGCCGTTTGAAGATCATCAGCCCTATTTTTTTCGAGGGTTTTTAAATTTTCAATTTAAGTTATTGCTAACTAATGTTCGCGCCTTAAAACCTAAAATTAATGATCTTGTAGTCCTCGGACCTTCTTATAGAATGGCATCTAACACACATACTACAAATAAATACTAAATACTGATAAAACACAATCACTGATAGACATGCCACAAAACTCTGAATAGTATTTTTATACAAAGAGACAAATGACAAATAATCTCTAATATATAAAAATTTATGTTTTGTTTGTTCGTACTTTATGCACTGCCGTACCGTTCATCAGATTGCATTAAAACTTTGTCAACTTATTGTTTGCACTAGCACATAGGTTATAGGTACAATTAACTTACAGTAGTTGGCGTGCATCTTACCGACAAACTTATTTGAAATTCATATATGTATTTCAATAAATGTATTATCATTTGTAATTAAATTATATATATAACTTTTCGCTGTGACAGCTCATGGGGTAAGCACTAGCCATAAATCGCGGGCAACCTGTTTTCGATTCTCGTTGGCACCAATGAAATGGTTAATTGCAATTTTAATTGATGATTACCACATGCTCGTTGATAAAATAAACTGTACGGAAACCTGCAGTATGACATATCAAAAAAATATTTAAAAAGCAAATGAGAGAAGGCACAAACCCAGCAGTAGGAGGTATAAAGACTGTAACTTTACGCTGTAATGTGGTCAATACCTTAATTCAATTTTAAGTCCATCAACATTGTGCAACCAAAGACAAATTTCAGAATGTAGGTACATGCTCTGTCTATTTTAATTAAATAAAGAAATAAAAATATTTCATGAGCTGATAATAGTATGTTTTTATTAAAGAACATTTAATAGCTTCTGTCTGGTTAAAAAGATCAAGGGCTTACAAATACCATTATAATACCACAATAACTTGTCAATACGACTTGCAATGTGGTGATAGCATAAGAGAATCTACTATAAGGCCATTTCATTTAATTATATATGTATATATATGTATATATTGTTTTGATTTTAAAGGAAATGCCAAATTTTCTGTATTTTCTTGTAATTTATACTAAATTTTGCCTTGTTAAGTGGACGGATCATGCAGGATAAGTATTTGTGTTTAAACAGTAAGTGAGGTCTAAAATCCTAAACAACTTGCTTGACTTCACAATTAGTGTTTGTTAATAGCTGCAAGTTATGTAGTGATTACCATTATTTCACAAGATAATTACAAACAGGATAGGATATCAGATATATTAAACTCTTTATGTGATTATAAAAAATAAAGTAACATAAAAGTGTCCTCAATAATAATAATCTTTATTTCTCTCTACAAAATTACAATTTAAATATCAATACATCTCAATATTAAGTAACTTACAAATGCTAGTTGTAGAGACTGGTGGCGATACTAGGATACCCTGTACTACAGTCACCAGGCCCCAATAAAGTGAAAAAAATTTGAAGACACCTGTAGGCGTATTACGTATCTTGCAGAAGGCTAGCGATAGCAAAATTAGAACAATAATTACTGATAAATCGCAGATACGCATTTTTTGACCAGCGATAACCAAGCCCTAGCTAACTAGCGACTACAAGGCAGCGCTGTCGCTAGTTAGCTTGGTAATTGCTGATACATAATACGAATCTGCGATTTATCAGCAATTATTGTTCTAACTTCGCTATTGCTAGCCTTCTGCAAGATACTTAATATGCCTACTGGGTATCTTGGGATCTAAAAATAAGCAGTTAAATTGTCACTTATTAGTAATTTTTTGTGAATAAGCCAAATCATCCTTAAAGTGGGAAAGGCCAATATCCAGCTGTGGACTTTTACAAGCCTATGAAGAAAAAGTAACAAAGTTAAAGTAACAGATGCAACGGATAACATAATGACTATTGGCTAAAAACTCAAATGCTACTCAATTTTAAAATGTTGTTAAGTATAGTGATGTCGCAGTCACTTTGACTTAAAGTGATAGACAGTACGAGACTTAACGGCAATTTAAAACATAGCATTAAACATATGAGTATTTGGGGATTAGTATCACAAAACTGTTTGCTATACCCTGAAGAAGTATTAAATGCCACACAGAAATGAAAGAATTGTTTAATGAAAGGTACCTACCAGATACCAAAATATGCATTTATTTATTTCATATTCTTTATTGCACACCATACAAAACATACAGAGATTATATGCACAAAAGAAATATGCAATGGGCAGTCATAGTAGTATTTTTTTTATAGGATAGGGTGACAAACGAGCACACAGTCCACCTGATGGTAAGTGGCTGCTGTGGCCCATAGACATCTACATCTATCCACGTTTGCGAATTAAAATGCAGATGCGTTGTCACCTGTGAGGACTAAGATGGAATGCCTCTTTTCCAGTAAAAAGGGTCTCCAGTTCTCTACACTCACCATACGAAACACAGCAGTGTTAAGCTGCTATTTGACGCTGGTATTCTGTGAGAGTGTGGTCCTTCCCCGGTCGAGCCGACCCATTCGTGCTACAACTATACTACTAATATAGCTGCAGCATAGCTCTACCATGTGTTAGTAGTAGTAGTTTAATGAAATTGAATTAAACTATTATCTATATACTTAAATAACAACATAAATGTTTTTTAGTCATAATCTTAACTCTCCTAAAGTTTTTCACTGATTTGAAATTTAGACTTAATGTTGCATTTGAATATGCATGTTTTTCTTTTAATTTTTGAAAAACTTTTGAGTCACAGGAAAGTGTGGCCAGGTGCAGCTAGAAATTTTATATAGTTTTTGCATTATTATACACAGTAATATAATATATAAATATACTGCATACTAGCTAGCAGATGTTCTGCCCCTTCCGACTCCTTAAATTAGCAATAAAAAATATTGGGGATCACTTATTAGGATAAAAACTATCCTATTTCTCAAGTTGGACCAGATCAGTTCAGTAGTTTAAGCATTTATCACGGACAAACAATGTAACACTTAATTTTTATATGTAAAGATAACTATTAATTGTAGTTTTAGACAAGTAAAGAATCACAACAAAATATGTAAAATGTGACATTATAAAAATATTTTAACATAACGTGAAACAAGAATGTTGGACAAAACAAATAACACAAATAAACAGTTAATATATATTATTAAGTCACACATCATAACACAAAGCATGGAAAATATTAGAAAATTATAAATATTGTAATCTAAACATGTTCTTTTAATTGAATAAGGGGGGTATGTTAAAAGGAAATGGAAATAAAAAAAACAAGAAAGAAACAAACATACAAACAACATCTAGACATCCAGCTACATTTGGCAGCTCACATTCTGTCCGCAGAGCACCCAGCCATCGGAGCACACTCCAAATACCCGCCTCATCACTGTGTCACACTAAATATGAATAATTTCACTTCCAAAAGTGCCATTTAGGTTCACTTACACACATTTACATAAATGTTTTGTTTATATATTCATGAAAGTAACATTTCTGTTGTTATATTAATTCACTAGCATCTTAATTAATTTTTTTATAAAACTTTCTAATCACATCAAAACAAATCTCATTATTTGATAGATTTTTTCTAGACGAAATTTATATATATATAACAAAATTTGGCACTGGATTTAGGACACGAAAACAGTTTTTGTACTCGCATTGGCACGGAATGTAAGATCGAAAGACGCGATTTCGAAATGTTTTTGCAACTAAACACTGTAAAATTGCAACCGCTTCACGGCCCAAAAACTGCGACGGAGACGAGAAAAGAACAGAAAAAAAGACTGCATCGACACGTTTCGTCACTAAAACAATATTTACTGTGGAACTGGGCTACAAAACAAAAATAGCAATCGAATTCCCCAGCAGCGACTGATCTGAGTAACGAAGGTGCGAAAACTGATTTTATAGCTTCGTGCTAGCACAACATTAAATCACCAATAATTCGTTCAATTACGAAATAATTAAGTCAGGAAAAAGCTTTTCCATCTAAATAAAAGCGAAAGAATCGTAACTCAGTAAATAATTCGATTTGACAGCGGCGCACGCCCCTCGGCCCCCGCACCGCACTTATTCCATCGCTACTCGCGCTACGGTCGGTCGGTATGCCATCCGGTCGATGCCAGTGTTGCTCGCACTAAAAATTAGGCATGGCTATAGGGTGAATATAACTATTAAAAACATGAAAACTGTTCAAAGTTAAAATCACTAAACTTTGATGATTTTAATAAGTAATATATAATGACCTGGCTTCATTTGAATGGTATTTACATTACCTATGGAATTTACGCTCTGGAAAGTTAAGTGCCGGCAAAATACTTGTCCTATCATTTGAGTCACAATGCTCATGTTTGCATGCAGTGATTGTAAGGTTGAAGGAAAAAATAATGTCGTGGTTGAAATGTGATCACCAGTGGAATCACAGACCAGATCCGCCGTTTAGACCGTGACCCTGCGAATATTTTGCGAAGGTCCCTCTCACGTCAAGGAGTGGATCACAACTCCTTAACGACTCACTCGTTTCTCATTCCTGAATGTAACGGTCGATATTTAGATGTAATAGAAATGTATATAAAGTATCAAATCAGTTTCATATGAAATAAAATTTTAATGCGATCGTTAATATTAACTTGATAAAATAATTTCCGTGAACAACTGCCCAACATCCATTTTAAGATCCTTTTAGATATTGCAAATGCTAAAAAAAATCATTACTACACTACTCGTACACTTAATCCAATTTTTATTTATAATAATATTATTATACTGTAACTGTACTTTAATGGGGCCATAGAAAAGCTTTTAATGTAGAAGTTATCACAGATAAAGCGACAAAGACTAACCAATATTAACACATCTGCTTACCATGAGGCTGCGATGACGTCATGTCGTAATAATTGATGTCCTTGTGGGACACTGAAGAATTGTCCGAATGTTCCAGACAAAGTCATAAGTACACATGTTATATATTATGTACACATAATATTTATAATATGAAAATGTAAAATTCTTATATTGTTTGTAATAATTTATTTACTAATTGGCAAAATTCATAATACTTTCGTGCCACTTCTTCTTACAAGGTCGGTCGCTGATGGGAACTTATTCAAACGATGGCGTACCTTTCTTGACTTTCAAAATGTGCTGTGTCAGCCAGTTATAACTTTGAGTTTGACTTATGTTATGATCAAACTGAAACGTCTTTGCAAAGAAAAAAGCATGAAACACAACTTTTTTTTGTGATGAAATAACCTTAACTGTTCACTTGACAGTAAGTAGGGGCTTAGGGATTTTCAAGAAAAGAGCCGGCAACGCACCTGCAATTCACTTAGTGCTGCAGTTGTTCATGTGTGGCGGTAGTCGCTTACCACCAGATGAGATGCACGCTCGTTTTCCCCCTCTTCTATAAAAAAAGTAAACAACTAAACATGTAACAACTAAGCTGGAAGGAACAGGTGCGTTATCACCTCAGAGGACACAGAAAATCACACTATCCCTCTCACCCAAGGCAACAGAATAGGGGATGCACTATTGCTTGGTGTCTTCGCTTATTGCTGTCATCATCATTATTACAGCTTATCAAAGTCCAGTGCTGATAATAGGCCTATAGATCCACATATCATTGCCACACCTGGCAGATGGGTTGGCAACCACAGGTTTTACTATTATTAGTTGTTTTTGGATAGATGCTGATGACCATCTCCTGTGGCGGTTTCCCGCTGTCGCCTTCTACTCCCATGATATGATACGAATAGTGCCTCATATCATCTGTGGGTTTTCTACCCCGCCACTACACGGCACAACTAAAGACTAAACAAACAATCTAGTAGCTAAGTACTTTATTAAAGTTAGTAAACAGGCGGAGGTTGCATAACGTGTGTTATTTGCATGAACAAAACCACAAACTAGGGTAACAAAACGTTGAAAACTTGCGGGTTGGCAACCGCAACGCTTAATTATAAAGTGGCCAACCGCCTCATCTTTGCCTGGGTAGGATCGTTATCATCATCATTATCATCAATACAGCCCTTCATAAGTCCACTGCTGAACATAGGAACATAGGGATCGCTATAGGTTACGTTACTTAGAGTTAAGATATTCATCAGAGACCATTTATTTTAGTTTTTTTTAATTCCATGTTTCTCGCTCTCGCTCTCTTTAATATGGCCTTGATTATTCTTGGAATTGGCGGAACAACATGAAATGGTTGTTGATTTATATTGATTTTTACGGATGTTGTTTTACTTTGCTTCACGATCCTCGACTTCAAAAGTACATTACTCAACATCATGTCTGTCGCAAATCAATTGCTCGGTCGCTGGCGACTTGCTAATCAACCGTATTAATTAGCCACGTGCTGTGCCACCGTGAGTCATGCAAACTGCGTACTTATCGGTATCCATATCCGATGATTCTCATTGACAACCTTTGCCACGAAGCAAATAAGATGCTATTGACAAACTCAAAGTAAACAATTAGAATCTTGTCTATGTAATTTAATTGTCCTATTATAGTTAAAAAAATTATCTCCTATTTTTCCACCATTTATAGGGTGCGTTTTATTTTCAAATTTAAATGAGGACATCATTGATGAATAGTTTATTTAATAAATACAAAGAATAATTAATATCTGTTCGCGACCGGCAAAGATCTCACGTAGAGTATATAAAAAATTTTTGTTGAATTGAGAACTCCATACTTTTTTTTTAAATTGGTTTATAGTAATTGAAAGAGTGCGTGACGATTCTTTAGTATTTAGTATTACTTTTTATGAAAATGATTATTATTGTAAACTGATATTTTTTCAAAAATAAATGTCTCGCCGGGATTCTAGCTGGTTCTTCCTAGGAAGACAGTATTACGCATATTATACGATCTTCCTCATAACAACTCAAAATAACAATATATCAAACCGCTTGCCAAGCGTGCCAACTATGAAACGACCCCTGGGTTAGCAGTGGACTATTGATAGGCCGTGATGATAATAACAATGATGATAAACGGACAAGTTAGGTCTAAAACTAATTTGTTCGCAAGAAAAGTAAAAAGTATGTAATGCCATTTTACCATTACATTATTATTATCGTCTTCTGTTGGATGTGGGCGTCGACAGAATTGAAACGTTTAGCCGTAAGACTTTTACAAGCTCATTGATAAATTGACGATTTTAAGATTTTAACGATTGTTAAATGCCGTCATTTATTGCAATAATATTAATGTCTTTTTAATATTTAGTTTCTAATACACTCTTTTGCTACGATATGGTTTCAACCAGGTTTACGAACGAACAATATAATGAAATTTTAAATAGGGAATAAGAGTGGTAAAATGTGCAAAAATATATATTATGTCTAATTATATAAGGGATAGACAGAAACGTTTCTAACTTCAAAACGAAGGCATCGTACTAATTTCCAAGAGAATACACGAAGTGTTTTATACAAACATATTGAAATAACAGAACCAAATAGATTAATAGACCGACAACAACGACTAGCGATCCGCGTGGAACCATTCTCAATGAATTATTCCCTCGCTCCCGTTCTCGGATTATTGCGATACATATACATATGTACTATAGTTCTTTAGAGGAAACTCGTGTAGTTTACAGGGTTGTCTGGTCAATGACATAGTACACAGCGGATACATAACTATATAGAAAACAGTGATATATACTGATAATAATACGAAAATACGAAACCGAGCCATCCATCAGAAAACCGTCATGTCCAAAAATGTATAACAGTATGAGGTGGGTTTGTCAGTCTTTAAGCACTGAGGATTTTCGAAGGACTATTTCAATTTCCCTTTACTTTTATTTTTACATAGAAAATAACTGTCGATTGATTATTTTAATATTTTTATATGTTATAACAAAATCGTCTTTAAGCCACAGAGAATAATGTTTACAAAAACGATTTAATACCGCTTTACAAATTAATCGTAACACTATAACAAATAATTGTTTGTCTATTACTAAATTATTAGAATTTTTTCGTCTGGCAACCCTGTGCTAGTAACGAAGCGCAAACGTTTACGCAGTCGCGCTTCGCGCGCTACTTACATATTAAAACGTTATGCGTCTATGGGTACCGTGCTTCCGTCAATCTGATGAAGGGCAAAGGCAATATTTAGAATAAATTAAAAATGGATCTTCTGATGGACAATTCACCGTGTATTTGTGGCGTAAGAGGCAACCGAGGTAAATGAAACATGAGATAGATAGCAGCGTCTTCTTGGTAACTACCCAAAATAATAAAAAAATCCGGTTACCAGCCTGCCAAGCGTGGCAGCTACTGATAACATGGCCCATGAGACAATCTATGGGGGAGGTCTATGTGCGACGATCAATTCAAACACGGACGGATGTAATAAATGAACACTCACCAGAATTTTCGAAGCTGTGAGATGCAAATTGGACTATCAAAAGTTAAATAAATAAATCAGTCTCAAAATTAGTGAGGAATGTAATTTTTAGGATGGAGCGACATCAATTACATCGTAGTAGTGGTATAAGAATATCCACTGCCCCATAACGTCCCGTGGGTGCCGTAAGAGGCGACAGAGGGAAACCAAACAGGGCATTGGCAACAGCTTCCTTGTAATTACAATAAAAAAAATAAAAAACTGCAATTACCAACCCATTCGCCAAACGCTGCAACTATCACAAATATCAATCTATGAGGAATGAAAAAAATTAAGGCCTTTCTTCAGCAGTGGACGTTTGATAGATAGTAACGGTAAAAGAGATTAAATTAAAAAAAATTCAAATAAAAGATTTTTATACGTGGTAGAGCCATGCTGCAGCTATATTAATTGCATAGTTGTAGCACGAATGAGTCGGCTTGACCAGGGAAGGACTACGCTCTCACAGAATACCAGCGTAAAATAGCAGCTTAACACTGCTGTGTTTCGTATGGTGAGTGTAAAGCACCGGAGACCGTTTTTACTGGAGAAGAGGCATTCCATCTTAGTCCTCACGGGTGACAACGCATCTGCATTATGATTCTTTATTGAGGATAGATGTAGATGTCTATGGGTCACAGCAACCACTTACCATCAGGTGGACTGTGTGCTCGTTTGTCAGCCTATCCTATAAAAAATATATTGCTATTGCTAATCCTTAACGATACCACCTATGAAATTGTTTGCAATTAGGACTGATTTGCCACGTGCTCGGCGGTAAAGGCAAACATCGTGAGGAAACCTGCATCTCCGAGAAATAAGAAAAATAATATTTCGACGACATGTGAAAGAAACGAGATGGGCACAGGCACCCAGCAGTGGGACGTATATAGGCTGTAAAGTTTTTATTGTACTATTATTTATTCTGTGCTTCAACTTTAACCCCTAACTTATGGCAGTTGTTGCAAACGTGGAACTTGCAAGATCTCGACAACATCTTAAACCTCTGACTAATTTGTCGATGAAAGCAACTATGGTCGCGCGAGCCTCAACAGATGAGGTATGTGAATACATGTGTGGCGGATAGAAGGAATAGGGGAGATCTCCCGCCGGGCAAGGTGTTCTGTCCGGGAGCGGCCAACGCTCCGAGTGGTAGTTCGGAGCTATGCTATATATATACTGCTCTTACTTCGGAACTTCGATAGCGTGATGTAGGTTTCGATGTGTTTCGCTTGTGGCGCGACTACAGCGCCGCCACACATGCCTTACTAGCTTACACGTTTACAATCAAAATTTCAAAAAGCGCGAATAAAATTTCCTTTTTTCTATACTGCAGGAACGGCCTTTCGAATTTGACGTCTGGAGTACCCGCTCCCTTCGCCCTATGATACGGCCAGGCCTGATTTCCACATTTTCTACCGACTTCAAAGAGACTCTTCTCAATTCGACTGTATGTTTTTTTTATGTGTGTCACCTCATAACTTTTTTCTGGATGAACCGATTTCGATGTTTCTTTTTTAATTTGAAAGCTGATGCTTCTCATGTAGTCCCATATAAATTTGACCAAGGTCTGACCAATACCAATAGTTTTTGAGTTATTCTTAACAATTTCTATTCGGTAAATCGGTTGTACAAAATTTTTAATTTTAAATTATTCAATTATTTTTGCCTCAACAAATTCTTTCTCGATTTCATCACGAACTTCGTATATTTTGTTAGTTCAGTCTAGTTCAATTACAATTGGACAGCGACTTTCGTCATCACAATCACCATCATTATATTCTTTTAAAGTACACTAGTGAACTTAGGCCTCCCCTCATAGATTGCTTCATATTGGAGATTTTAGCATGTCATGCGGGTTTTAAACAGCGGTTTCTTATTAATTTCCCTGTGTTGTCTGTCTGACACCCAAGGGATGATATGGGGTGTGAATAGTGAATATTCCAACGCCACTACTTCGTCAATATAATCACTATTACGGGTACAAACTATCGAGGATATAGCTCCGTATAAACCGTATCTAAGTGACCTAACTAACAGTCGGCTTCAATAAACAGTCAATTAGAGATAAGTCGGGTTAGACAATTAGTTAGACACAACAATGGCCGATGCGGTCGCACGTCACGAGCTGGCTAGGGTCAATGTTTGATTAACAAGCACCCAACGTAGACGGAACAATGGGTATTAGAGCGGACAAACGTAGGGCTTCATAGACTAGCCGATGAGAATGTCGGTTAGATTGAATGAAAAATTAAGAAAGATATGATTATAACAGTTCTATGACTGAGTATGACGGCTCCGTGGCGCAGTGGCTTACCAATGAGCTGCAGCGTTAAGAGCAGCGAGTTCGAATCCCGCACGGAACAATTATTTGTATGACCTATAAATAATTGTTCCGGGTCTTAATGTTTGTCCTTGTGAAATTTATGTATGTAAACTGCCCCCACGATACAGGAGAAAAGCCTAGTGTGGAGGTAACGTTTTGTTTAAACAAAAATAGTTCTTTTTAGGGTTCCGTACCCAAAGGGTATTACTAAGCCTCCACTGTCCGTCTGTCAGTTAACGGGTTGTATCGCACCTAGACTAGGGTTCTTGCGCACACCGCGTACACACCGTACACCCGCATACCTGGCCAGTTCTCACCGCCCAGAACATCGACCGACACGAGCTAAGCAGTCAGAGGCGGGAGTACGGACACCCCCACTCGAACAGCGGTTAGATTTTAACGAGGTAGAACCATGCTGCAGCTATATTAATAGTATAGTTGTAGCACGAATGGGTCGGCATGAAGCAATTCATTTCATCTTAGTCCTCAGGGATGACAACGAATCTGCATTTTGATTCTTTATTGAGGATAGATGTAGATGTCTATGGACCACAGTATCCACTTACCATATTAAGCACATAGTCGTGCTCGTTTGTCAAACATATTCTGTAAAAAAAAGCTTTATGGTAAGTGTAATGGCCAGTAATCAGCGCTGCTCGTCTAGCAGCTGCGTCACTAATCACTCGTCAACATCAACACTCAGGTCTTAGTGAAGAAAGTGAGCGACAAGCGTAAAGAGGGGTGTGACGTTGGGCGGGCATGACGGACACATGCACTTGTTTTAGCTAATGACTAAGCCTTCAATGTTGCAATGAACGATAATTAAAACGGAAGACCACGCTCCAAGTGGAGCTACGTGATTGACGACACGGCAAACCTTTCGCACAAACAAACACGTCGTGATTATAGCAACATCACATTACTACTGATGGCGGGCTGTTATAGAGACGCAAATAGGCGCGGCGTCGCTTCATTTAGTCAGCGGTCGATAGACAGGTATAGATTGTTAACTGACTGTAATATAAAATGAAATTGGAGACAAATAATTTAAAATTTAAAATTTATTACAACCGACTTCTTTATAAATTATTAAGAATAACTCAAAAACTACTGGCCAGACCTTGATCAAATTTATATGAGACGACATGAGAAGTATCATCTTTCAAATAAAAAAGAATCATCGAAATCGGTTTACCCAGAAAAAAGTAATGAGGTAACACTCAAGAAAGAGATTAACAACAAGTCAACAAGCATTTTTTAAATTTTTGGACTATCTGTCTATCAGTCTGCCCGGGCTATTCTTCAAAATGGCTTAATCGGTTGTGATAAAACTTTACTAACAGATAAAGAGCAATACCAAGAGGGTTCTAGAAAAATTGATAAAATATACAGTCGAATTGAGTACCGTCTCCTTTTTGAAATCGGTAGAAAATGTCAACAAAATATTTAAAAATATTCAACAAAAGGAACAGGCCATTTGATGGGCAGTAGAGTCTTTCCAGTAATAATTAGAAAACAATACCCCCTGCCACCCGCCTGCCAGGCAAATTACACAATCTCTTATAAGACAATATATGTGGAAGCCTTGGTTCAGCAGTGGACTTTGATAGACTGTAATGAATAAATGAATGCACCAAAGTCATTTTGTTGACAACCTCTGAAACACTGTTGTTAAAATTATACGCGCCCATTCGAAAGTTAAAAGACCAAAATAAATTTACCAGTTACGTTAATAACTCAAATAGTTTAACTCCAATAGTAAAAAAAAACAAACATAGTACGTAAATGTTTCATACTAAAGGTTGTCAGAAGATCGTAACTTTTGGCATTTTTATCAAATTGCATTTAGCAGTCGGCGGTGGCAATATTTATAAAAAATACGACTTTCTTCAATCGAAAATAATATTATTACATTTAAAATCAATTTTATTCGATTGCTATCAGTGTAGTAAAAATCGGTGAAAGGACATTTTCACAGATTTGAAATTATTATATATCTTTCTACGTGGTAGAGCCATGCTGCAGCTATATTATGGTTGTAGCACGAATGGGTCGGCTCGACCGGGGAAGGACCACGCTCTCACAGAAAACCAGCGTAAAATAGCAGCTTAATACTGCTGTGTTTCTTATGGTGAGTGTAGAGAACCGGAGACCCTTTTTACTGTGGTGACAACGCATCTGCATCTTGAGTCTTTATTGAGGATGGATGTAGATGTCTATGGGTCACAGTAACCACTTACCATCAGGTGGACTGTGTGCTCGTTTGTCACCCGATCCTATAAAAAAAAAGATAACACGTCACATCGCATACATATCCAAAAACCGACAACTCCAGTTTTTGTAACTACGTTTGCTACAACCGGTTTTCGAACAGTGAACCCGCGGCTCAATACCCTTATATCTTCGACACTGAACTACACGGTTGTGTTTATATATCTAAGAGACATAGTTCTCCATTATTTTTATTACTCCTTATTCAAATATATGTACTTAATGTAAATACATGGAGCCCGATCAGTATGGCCGACCACGCATCATTAGCGGCTTCGCTTTGCGTACTTCGCATAAATCAAACGTTCAATCAATCATTTCGACTAAATATCTTTAGAGGACCCTCCGCGTTGGTTAAATTTCCGGTAGCTTTACAAGTTATAATAGTTATAATACTTAATTTTACTGCGTCAGTACTATTATTTATTCATTGCCTATAATTTTAATCATGTGCCAGGACTGTCAGATGGGCGGTGGATCATAAGGGTGACACGGTGGTGAGCTGGAGAGGTACAAGTGGGAAACGCTACAGAGGAAGACCGCTTACGAGATGGGCGGATGATTTTAGCAAACCGGCTAGCCCAAACTGGAACCAAACGGCCCAAGATAGTGAAAATTGGGCTGCGGAGGAGTTCTTGCAGATTTATTACTTATACCAATAGGATTAAGCTTAGTTTACTGTTTTGTTATTTGTGCAAGTAATAAAAAGGCTTAATACATTTTTTTTCTTTTTTTTTTTAATACTTTTAATCGCATAGCTGGCAGCGTTGTCTTGTTTCTGTAAGGGTAATGTACCTATAAAATATTAATTAATACAAAACGCAGATATAAGTAAAACTATGAAAAAATAAAATACAATGAATGGTTCGGCGGCGCAGTGTAACTTACGTTAACAACTGCAATGTCTATCACGGCAATTCATTGAGATATTTTAAAAGGGTTTTATAAACTAGTTGAATGAGTTTTTCGATTGAGATAAGGGTAACAAAACCCCACTCTACACTTCAATCTCCCCTAAGTGCAAATGTCAAGTGAACATAAAAATAGGAACCCCTACTTGGCAACTTTTAGCTGAGGTCTCACGTAACGAAGTTTACTCGTATATTATAATGTGTAACTAGCGACCCGCCCCGACTTCGCCTACGTAGGTACTATTTATGTGGTCAATTTTATAGAATAAGGGTGACAAGCGAGCACACAGTCCACATGATGGTAAGTGGTTGCTGTGGCCCATAGACATTTGCATCTATCCTCGTATGCGAATCAAAATGCAGATGCGTTATCAGTCGTGAGGATTAAGATGGAATGCCTCTTTTTCAGTAAAAAGAGTCATCGGTTCTCTCACTCACCATACGAAAGCAGGATTAAGCTGCTATTTTACGCTGATATTCTGTGAGAGCGTGGTCCTTCCCTGGTCGAGTCGACCCATTCGTGCTACTAATATACAAATAATATAGCTGCAGCATGGCTCTACCACGTAAAAATGCAAAAAAAAAAGTTGATGACTATTTAAAAAATCTATATAATTTTTTTATAATAATCCTCTATGACCATTTATTTTATCTATTTTTTTAAATTTCACAAAAAAACCTTCAATTTTTTCAGATAAAATATAGCTTAGATCAATCCTGGCATTGTTGATGAAGGTTAGGCCGTACAGACAGACAGAAAATTTTACGAAAATAACCTCCGAGCACTGACCTCGATAAAAAGCAGTTATTTCGATATTACATGAGACAGAGTATACATATATAAGCATAGCTAGCTATGTAGACCCTATGGAGACGCTTCAATTCTATTTATGAATAATATAATTTCGACTTTGACACCATAAATATAAAACGCTTATTCATTTATTTTAAATTATTTTCAGTATGAGATGCCATGTGGCATTTTATTCACTGATGTGGAAAAATCAACCTAATGGTAAGTAAGCCAAATCAGGGGCCTGTAGTGCGATTTTAAATTTTACAGTACGCGAATGAGGTCGAACTTGTGTATATATAGTATAGTATTCTATGGGTCGAACAATCTCCCGATCACCAGATGTCGCTAGTTGTAGGATAGATGTAGATATCTGTGGGCTACTATAACCACTTATCATCAGGTGGACTGGACTGTGTGCTCGTTTGTCACCCTTATACTATAAAAAAGTCAGTTTATAATTTATTTGATGGATAACTTTTAACTGACGATTGAAAAATCAGCCCTTATATTATTACACAGGCTCGGCAGTGAACGATAATATCGTCAGAAAACCTGCATAACTTAGAAATAAGAAAAAAATATTTCGAAGACATGTGAAGATCGCCAACACGCATTTTGGCAGCGTGGCGGACATTTCCTTGCCTTATATTCCTCTAAAAAATGAGAGACCTGTGCCCAACAGTGTATATTATGCTGTAATTTTTACTTTAACTTTATATAATATAAATTTAACGAAAGCCGTCATCTTTTTTGATTCTTATCTTAATGCTAAATATTCTTATTTTTCTCCAATTTACTCCCATGAAAGGAAGGATTTGTCATTATAGCCACGTTTGTGTGGCGCCGCTGTCGTCGCGCCACAAGCGAAAACCATCGAAGCCTAAATCGCACTAACAAAGTTCCGAAGTTAAAGCAGCATATATAGAATAGCTCCGAATTACCAATGGGATCATTGGCCGCTCCCCGGGCAGAACACCTTGCCCGAAGGGAGATATCTCCCCTTTTCCTTCCACCGGCTACAGTGGAGATCTCCCGACGTGATATGAACACGCAACCAAACAACCTTCAGAAAACTACAACTTCAAGCTTTCTACATCGTCCTCAAGTACCCCATTCATTCACTCCCGAGCAGATATTGTCTGCAGTCTTCACATTCTGCAAGCCATCTAGCTTTACAAAGTTTTATCGCAGCACTGGAATAATAATGCTTCCTGTTCCTTCAAGCTACCTCTGCGCTACAGTGTTCGGCACGGCTCTGAGCCTTACTGCTCGCCTCTGCTTCGCGGCACTCTCGCAGATTACTTGCCTTCTTCTCGACTCACCGCAGACTACAAGGCAATTCCCTGGCACTTGCAAATTCGTTGACATCTAGACTGCACTATCGACCTCCGGTCTGAGCAGGGGGGGTGATGTGGCGCCGCTGTCGTCGCGCCACAAGCGAAGCACATCGAAGCCTAAATCGCACTAATAAAGTTCCGAAGTTAAAGCAGCATATATAGAATAGCTCCGAACTACCAATCGGAGCGCTGGCCGCTTTCCGGGCAGAACACCTTGCCCGGCGGGAGATCTCCCCTTTTCCTTCCACCGGCTACACTTGCTTGGCGGCTGAATTGGCAATCAAAGTACCAAACCAGATGGATGTCTCCAAACCTTTGAGGCTGCTCCCAGTCGCCTTTCAGAATATTTTAATATACGCCATATTACGAAATGGTACCTTAAATACAAAACGGTTGCTTATCAGAGGCCTTGAGATTGAGATGTATCGCATTTCTAGCATTTATCGATACTCCAACGCCACCACCGTACAGCCACGTGCAAATATAGCAATTGTATAATCTATACAAACGTGGGTTTCACACGTATTTTAATATCACCGTTTATATTTGACGGCTCCGTAGCGCAGTGGCTTAGCAATGAGTTGCAAGCGTTGCAGCGCAGGTTCGAATCCCACACGGAACAAGTACATAGCCTACAAATAATTGTTCCCAGTCTGCATGTTATTCCTTGTGAAACGTATGTATATAAACTGACCCCACGATACAGGACATATACCTAGTGTGGGGGTAGCGTATTTTTAAAGAATGAAAAAATCGCTTTTAATTAACGGGTAAGTACACACAATTTCAATGTTATCAATGATAGTTCGTTAATTAATACCGCGGAGGCGCGAAACAAACCCACACCTAGCACAGTTATATGAGTGTGATTAATAAGCAGTCACGCTATCGCACGGTTAACTACTCTGGAAAAAAATAGCCAAGTGTGTGATGGAAGACGTGCAAAGTAGGGTTCCGTTATGCGATCTAATATATTTTAGTTTAAATGCTATTATACGCTGTACGTTACTTCAATCGAAAATATTCAGTAAGAGCACTTTTTAAATTATTCCATGTTTTTGTGGTGTGTTACAAATTACGAGAAATTTGGAACATCATATTTGAAAAACTAGGCTGTGGCTTATGTAACTTCAGTTTTATTTTTAAGATAAAACTAGAAGCGCCCCCTGAATTATGGTTACAGCAGGAATAGGTTGACTCGAAGAAGAACCGCGATAACACAGAACAAGAGCGTGAAATAGCAGCATAATGCTGCTATTTATTGTTCTTATTGTTAGTGACAAGAAACGGATGCCTTTTCTATTGGTTAGGAGTCAATCCATCTATTTTTATTTCATATAGGATAAGACTGACAAACGAGCACACAGTCCACCTGATTGAAAGTGGATTCTGTGGTCCATAGACATCTGCATCTATCCTCGATTACAAATTAAAATGTAGTTGCGTTGTCACCCGTGACGACTAAGCTGGAATGCCTCGTTTCCAGTAAAAAGGGTCTCCGATTCTCTACATTCACCATACGAAACACAGCAGTGTCTAGAGAGCGTGGTCTTTCCTCGGTCGAGTGGACTCATTCGTGCTATATACAGCTGCAGCATGGCTCTACCACGTATAGAATCATATGTTATTAGTTTTTAATAATGGAAGAAGTTAACAACAAAATGTGCATAAAGAAGAAGCATGTGCAATTAATTAATTCTTCAAACAAAATTCAGTGAATTAGTAGTAGTATTGAATATAGAAACTACAAAACTACATTCCCAGCTCACATATTGAGAAGAGTATTTTTAATATACCCTTATCTTAAAACTATATATATATATATATATATATATATATATATATATATATATATATATATATATATATACTGAATCATAAGAAATACTGGTCAAACTCTAGTAGGGGTTTTATTACAAAACGTGGCTTATCTACATTTTTAACCTAAACCATTTTAAAACCTTCAACTTTAATTTAAAGAATAATATCGACAAACATTTTTTTTGTAATGAAAGAAGAGTAGTAGTTTTGTGTTGTTGTGATTTACTAGGACATACAGTCAGTACGAAATTGTGGTTGCAACGAAATTAACCCTTTTATGAAAGCGGAACCCTAAAAATGGCGCCTATCTAAATTTACATAATATAGATTTATGAATTAACTAGCAATCCGCCCCGGCTTCGCACGGTTAATTTCTAGATCTCGACAACAACACACCTACCGGGTCAAACTGTAAATCTAAACCATTCTGTAATCAACATAATCACACACACACACACACAAAATTTCATCAATATCGGTCCAGCCGTTTAGGGAGGAGTTAAGTGGCATACACACGGACAGAAAAATTATATAATATTTAATATGCATGTATTATACATATAAACTTTCCTCTCGAATCATTCTGCCTATTGATGAAAACCGCATCAAAATCATTTTAAAAGATCTAAGCGTACAGACGACGTGAAGCGACTTTGTTTTACACCGTGTGTGAGTTGATGTAGTGCAAAACCGTTAAAAAACATATTTTGACTGCGCCACTACAAGTTACCGTGTAGTGGCGGTGTAAGAATATCCACTACCCCATATCGCTATGGTTGTCGCAAGAGGCGACAGAG